CCGGATGGGTTGGACATTTGATTTTTGTCTTAACTATCGTAATTTTTTCTATAAAAAATATACATTTCTAAGTTACACTCTTTAAGTGACGCGTAAATTTGAAAAAAATGTACACTTATACAAATTAAAATGAAATTTTCCATTAAAATTACAATTTTACAAACAAATTATTAACAATTTATTAACAACAATGCACTTTTGTTAATATCTTTACAAAAAAATGTGAGAATATCTTGTTTTTGCGTTGATGAGCAAACGAGTTGAGCTCACCGCCCACCTGGTGTTAAGTAGATAACAAATTCTACTTAAGTACATACATCATTACCCGAATACCAACCACCGACCTTGAGAAAAAAGGTGGAAGTTTCAATTCTATTGTATAAAAGAATCCCGAACCGATAATTACGCAAGATAATAAAATTTGCAGAATTTATCATCACACAAAGTATTTTATTATATTTTTGTCGAAAGAAGAAATGATAATGTATTATGGAAGTGTTTATGTAAACACTGGCTAGGTATATATTTCCTTAGAAATAGGGGCATAGTCGCATCGCTTGATACGAATACAGCGCAGTCCGACAGAAGCACCCGCCGCCTGCGGACGTGCTCATCGACCACTCAATCGCCCGGCCATTGTTCGCCTGGTTTTATTGTTAGCCCGGCCTTTGTTCACCCGGCTTTTGTTCGTGGCACATCTGCCGACAAAGTGTGTTCCTGGAAGTGTTTGTTTTGTTTTGGTTTATTTTTGTAGTTTCCTTTTTTTTGTTGTTCTTTCTTTNCATTACTGCTTCACGGCAGAAATAGGCAGGGCGGTGGTACCTACCCGCGCGGACTCACAACAGGTCCTACCACCAGTAATTACGCAAATTATAATTTTGCGGGTTTTACTTTTATTACACGATGTTATTCCTTCACCGTGGAAGTCAATCGTGAACATTTGTTGAGTACGTATTTCATCAGAAAAATTGGTACCCGCCTACGGGATTCGAACACCGGTGCATCGCTTCAACACGAATGCACCGGACGTCTTATCTTTTAGGCCACGACGACTTCAATCATCGACTTGGTATCATCACCAGTATTTTTCTAATAAATACTGTCAACAGAGCGTAGTTTAGTTTTTATTTATTTTAGTTTACCTATGTTTTATGGTACATACTTACTACTAGGTAAGCCGTGAGCTCGGCCCCCTATCTAAGCAGTAAGAAAAATCTAATTGAAAATGATATCCGGATGGGTTGGACATTTGATTTTTGTCTTAACTATCGTAAATTTTTCTATAAAAAAATATACACTTCTGTGTTACATTCTTTTAGTGAGGCGTAAATTTGAAAAAAAATGTACAACAAATTATTAACAATTTATTAACAAAAATGCACTTTTGTTAATATCTTTACAAAAAAATTGTGAGAATATCTTCTTTTTGCGTTGATGGGTAAACGATTTGAGCTCACGGCCCACCTAGTGTTAAGTAGATAACAAATTCCACTTAAGTACATACATCATTACCCGAACACCAAACCGACCTTGAGAAAAAAGGTGGAAGTTTCAATTCTATTGTATAAAAGCATCCCGAACCGATAATTACGTAAGATAATTAAATTTGCAGAATTTATCATCACACAAAGTATTTTACCTATATTTTATTTTTGTCGAAAGAAGAAATATAATGTATTATGAAAGTGTTTATGTAAACACTGGCTAGGTATATATTTCCTTAGAAATAGGGGCATAGTCGCATCGCTTGATATGAATACAGCGATCCCCCCTGGCTGAGCCTTTGCTCGCCCACCTGTCCTGGTGAAACTGGAAAGGCCTCCGGGCCACCAGTAATACTTCAATCATAAAAAAAAAAAAACGAATACAGCGGACGTCTTATTCTTTAAAGCACGACGACTTCTTTGTGACAATGGTGGCGCATGTTGGTGTATTATATATTAATATCAAACAGAAAAACTAATTGTTTTACATTCTCATAATATTCTTGGTCACTTCACAAAATACACTTGCGTAAACAAAAAAAATATTCCAGACTGGGTAAAGTATTTTTGCATTATTGAAAACGTTAGCCTTTTGATTAGATTCATGAAAAGAGCAAATAATGATTGTTATAATACTAGTAAACAGGCAAAAACTCTACGAAATAACGGTATATTTGATTGATTGTTCTTTCATATAAATAAAATGACAAGTTATTTTGTATTGGATTAATATTTTATTCTAATATTCAATAATACCTGACGTTATGCGTTATTTTATCAGTAATTTTTTAATAAATTTGGGAAACGCGGCATTTAGGTACGCTACCTTTAACGGGGACTATACTTGTACTACTCTGTCAAGAAAGTACCGAGAAAACAACAATACACAAAATGTTAGTTAATCATCCAAATTTATTTTATCACCTTCAAAGTATAGGTACTTATTCATAAACAATAAACTAACGATAGGGAATATTCCAATCATTAAAACATTTTTAAACGCTTTTTCGGGAATTGAGTTCAGTTCTCGCCGTTAATTCTGCTGTATTTCTTCTACCGAATGAAAACGATACCAAGAAGTGGTAATTTGAGTTTTGGAGAGGATAGAAAGAAGTCGGATTATATTTGTTGAGTTTTTGGTCAAAAACTCTTTCACAATGATGGCCTCGTGCACTATCGTAGTGCAAAAGCAGGAATTTTCTTTCTACAAATCTGGCCTAATTTGTCAAATTTGCTTTCATAAACGCCGCATAATGCTCAATTTTGTTTGATCTTCATATTATTTGAGTCTTTTTTATTGCTTTGTTGGGTGGACGAGCCCTCGGTCCACCTGGTGTAAAGTAGTTACAGGAGTCCATACATATTTACAACCGGCAAAAATTCTGAGTGTACAACACCGCGATAGTCAAAGAAAACAGTTAACTGACTTTAACTTTTGATCGACCTTGACATGGCTTTTTCGGCTTCGGTTAACGGAAAGCGCCACTTCGAACCTCGTTGGCTAGTTTACATATCAAACTCGTAAACTCGCGTCTCATCACCAGTAACGATGCGTTTCATGAATATTGACTCGAAAATGACTTACATGTCCTTGGCAGATCTTATACAATGGAGTTTTTGCTGAAAGTTCAAGGTTTTTTTGGACTAGTCGAGCGGATACATGTTTCATCCCTAACCGATTATTTAAAATGGTACGTATCAACTTGTTAAACATAAAGGTGATGCAAATTTTAAGAAGACTGTTTGTCCGATTTTTTCTATTGAGCATTTCCAATACATACTAGATATAATTTAGTAGGTATCTAAAAACATCACTGTATTTAATCTAAATAGCTGATGCAACTCAAAACCTGCGCCAAAATGGAAAACAGTTGTGCCAATCTAACAACAACAACAAAAAGAATTGAGTTTGGAATCTTAAACAAATTATACTTTTTTGTGTGAATGAATGTATTATGTAATTATGTTTTAGGAAAATGCTATCCTGATGAAACCGAAGCATCAAGCCTAAGTAAAAAAAGAACTTTTAAATGTTTAAATCAAATGGGTGGGCTAGTTCACGGCCCTGATGTTAGGAGATTACCGGAGCCTATTACCTAACATCACAATATGAATTGTCACACTTCTTGGGACATACTACGACTTTCCCTCTTTTCAAATTAGAATACATTAGTGAGGGGAAAAATTGAGTAAATTAGTGATACATGTGTGACAGTAATAGGCAGGATGCACATTACAACTTTTGCGGGCTTGCTTTTTGAACGATGTTATTGTGGATGTCGTGCACGAACACTTCTTAGTACGTATTTAATTAGAAAATTTGATACCTGCCTACTAAAAATTCATACTTAATATCGAGCACTTGTCTTACTTTACGAGTATGACGAATTGAAAAGAAGAAACATCCATTACAATTAAGACTTTGGAGCCCTTTAAACGCTTCAAAAGTAACGATTTCCATGCTGTATCAAGTAACCCGATTACAATTCTCACTCGAAATCAATATGTTTGTGAAAAATGTTTGTAGTTATTTTTGTGTCGTCTTTGTTTCCGGTACTTATAACGCAGTTGCAGATCCTAATTTGGGGTCGTGGAATAAAAAATAAATAATGAAACAAACTACCAAAAGTTTTTTTGTGCAATTAAAATATCTTGGAAACGCATTACAGGTAAAGTGAGTTTTGTTAGTGAATCATAAAAATATGTGAAATAAGTAAATTAAGGGACATTAATAAATTGCATTTTAATTCACTATGATGAATATAAATAGTGTTTGAGCTAAGTTAGTTCACTATTTTCCGAACTTTGCTTCGAAAGGTTGATTGTAACATAAATTTTTAAATATAACATAAATACTAGATAACCAATTAAATTTATAGTTCAGTTCATCACATACACAAGTAGCCTACGGAATAAAGTAGGACTGTAAAAGTTAACATCAAAGCTTCAACAACATTTCAGTATTTAAAAGGTGAGTGTTTTCACTTTGTTTTTAACAATGTTAAATTCATCAGATTCGATTTTGATAATAATAATTCGATTAGTAAATGTGAACATATTTCAAATGAATTGTCAATTCGAAATAATTTGTGGAAGTACATAATCCCTTTGTCATGATGTCGAAATAACATAAAATTATATTTAAAAAAAAACTGGCCTTACCCTTAGTTTTTATATAATTAAGTTTCTCATTTAGTTCGGTTACAATTTTATTGTATTAATTTGTACAATACCTTTTCAAAGTTTTTGTATTTTTTGTGAGAACAAATTTTATTTTTAAAAGGTTCCTGGTCTTATATCTTATTAATGAACAAAAAACAAACAAAAGTAGCCCGCCGATGAGGGTATTTACATGATTGTATCAACGAAACGAATACCTACGTCGTAACTTGAAATATGTTCATGAAAGGTCATGATTGGTGCTAGCAGCCTGTCAAACGATTCACATTCCATGATTTAATGTTAATCTACATTATAGTGTGATTGTTACTACAGTACACATTTATCTTATTTCAGATGTGTCTTGTTCTAACTGCGGCTATACTCCTTTTCGTAGTGAGTTCTTCAGCAAATCCTTACACAATGCAGCCAGTTCAACCAGTAGACCTTGGTTCAGAATATACTATAGCCGACGGCTTATTAGGTTCCGCCTTGTCTGTAATAATGGATGTAAAAGCTCAATTCAGAGAAATCATAATAGATATTGCATTACAAGCTTTCAGATTAATCAAAGAGTGGTTCGCCCGTTACAATGTATACTTACAAAAAAAATTGGCGAAGTACAATCTTTCTCAAGTTTTTGAAGCTCTGGTGAATTGTGTTAATGAATTTATAATTGATCCAGCGTACGAAGTTTTTACAGAGAATGTGGAGGAATCTAAGCAGCCTTTAATTACGAGCTCTGATTATCTTTACAAAAGTCCTTATAACTTGTGAATATATTACCAGTGATACATTTCGTTTCACTATTATCTTTTTAAAATCATAAATGTAGGTAAAAGTCTTTTGTTAATCTTCTATAAATTGTTATAAATCATTTTCAAAACTCAGGAATAATGTACGACAGATTCAATGTTAAAGTAAAACAACCTTTTTCGATTTGTAAAAAAAAATTGCACACACGGAACGAATTGAGAACCTCCTCTTGAAGTTGCTAAAATAGTCATGCCGTCCGTAATGTGCAAAATATCACAGCGCCTTATCGAATATTCTTATCAATATAATCGATATTAGATTTCTATTATATTTTCATAAGGTTGTTCTTATGTTTTTCTAATTTTGATTTGTCGGAAAAAAACACATAACTAAATTAAGTTCGCTTTTAAAGGCCTATAAATTAAATGATGACCTTTTTATTATAATACAATCTGTTGTGGTTTATCTGTGCAATAAAGTATACAATAAATAAGGACTTGTTTTTTTATTTCTGTTTAATGTACTAGTTTACATTTGGTGTTAATAGGGTATCAGAGCCTAGAGATATCAGAACATAAAGGTTATCTACCGCTCACCTTGAGTGGTGTCATCAGGTTCTCAACTGGATTACATTTTTTTATTTTTTATTGCTTAGATGGTTGGACGAGCTCACAGCCCACCTGGTGTTAAGTGGTTACTGGAGCCCATAGACATCTACAATGTAAATGCGCCACCCACCTTGACGTAAATGCGCCACCCACCTTGAGATATTAGTTGTAAGGTCTCAGTATAGTTACAACGGCTTCCCCACCCTTCAAACCGAAACGCATTACAGCTTCACGGTAGACACAGGCGCGGTGGTGGTACCTGCCCGTGCGGACTCACATGAGGTCCTACCACCAGTATAAAGTTCTTCATACCAAAACGCGACAGTTTCGAGACAGAAATAGAGAGAGGATAGTGGTACTCATACACACATTACGCCGTACCACTGCTGATTACGCAAATACCGTACCGTATACCATAATTAGACGGATGTTATTCCTTCGTTGGGGAAGTCATTCGTAAATTATCTGTTGACAAATATTGTGATTCTTTTGCAAAGCCTTTATTTACGTAACATAATTTACACGAATAAACATTAAAGAAAATATTCTATCAATTTCAATACATGATCGACCATCCGTGATGAAAATCGCAGCCAGAACTTTTGACACTTCACTGGTATATTTATTTCTACATTCGTACATTTCAAATCAATCATTGATCTCTATATTATCTTACGTTACATTATGTTACCTAGGATTATTAAGTGTTTTAATTTTAATGAATTAACGTATACATTAGGTACCCCCTACCGGTAATTCCTTAAATTATTAATTTTGAGTGTAAATTTAATTATACAATGATCTTCATCGTAAACAAAGTTCATGAACAAGTGGTAAGTGCGTGTTTCATTAGAATAATTGGTACATTTACTAGTGGTAGGACCTCTTGTGTGTGTGTCCGCGCGGGTAGGTACCACCACCCTGCGTATTTCTGCCGTGAAGCAGTAATCCGTTTCGGTTTGAAGGGTAGGGCAGCCGTTTTAACTATACTTGAGACCTTCGAACTTATATCTCAAGGTGGGTGGCGCATTTACTTTGATGTGTATGGGCTCCAGTAACCACTTAACACCAGGTCAGCTGTGAGCTCGTTCATCCATCAAAGCAATAAAAAAAAGCTGCAGTCAAATTATTGTATCATCTACAATTCTTAAAACAAAATTCCGGTATATTAACTTACCTCGGGTGAAATTCTAACAAAATATGTAAACCAGTAGTACGACTAACTATGTTAATGTGATCCTTCCTGTCCTTGAACACACACTTCCCGTCGCTTGTTACATCCTTAATCATTCATTATCCAATGAAGTCGTCCCAAATTGCACGACAGAAGCAAAAAATAACTAAATTTTTTTTAAATTCAATTTACAACTCATGCCAATTTCAATTCATGCGTTCCCATTAAAGAACGATTAATTTATCGTCAATGATTATTTCGATGTCGTATATTAGATTAAGCAGAAGTTACAACGCTGATCGTATCGATTTTCTTATAATGCTTTCCTATTTTCCGTCTGTAGCATGAGTATTCTCGCCTTTTCCAACTAAATAGTCTTAGTGCTGGTTAATAATCCGCATAGGCCAATATAATATTATTATTTATATTACGAACCAGTTCCACGGTACCTGTTGAAGGGTTACGTAGCTGATTTTGTCGTTATTTCAAGTTGCGAATACGACATATTAATTGCGCGTGAAATGATGATCTTGTAACTAGAATTCAATAATGCATTTAACACATTTGATTTGAATATTCCACTGGCTATGCTTAGGAGTTTTTACATAAATCGGTGTACAGTGAAAATATTTAAGGCTCGATAAATAAAACATAAAACTTTCAGAAAGTCATTCAACTACAATATAATACAATTTTAATTAGTTACATATATTATCACGGTAAATACAGTAAACATCTTTATTAGACTCTGAAGTAATTTAATAGCAAAATATCATTCTAAAAGCCGATTGCTCCTAAATAGCATACAGGAGATAATGTTATTAAAATTTTAACTCGAGTAAATTAGGTACTTATTAACTCCATGAGTAAATTGTATTGAAAACGCCTGATACAATTATTAGCAAATAATAACTCCGATCGTTATTTTGAATTTGTTCATCGGTCTATATTTAGATGAGATAAATTCTGAGAATGATACCGCAGGTATGCTGCCGTGTACTATTATTAACATTATTCAGAGCGATGTATCAAGAATAGATTAAATCTCAAAAAGGCTTTTAAGAGTCTAACAAATAATTCAGCATAATTTTTTTTTTTTAATTTTGCCAGGGTTATTTTCCTACCACAGAGTATATACTGTATGGTAATAAATTCTGCCAGTACCTAGATGTAGATATAATATATACGTGAAGTTAATTACATCACTATCACATATTAAGCTTCAATAAGTAAATTAAACGATTGATGCAACAATATGTAGTGCATTGCTATAAAACTACACTAGGTGTTTTTAACAAATAGATTAACACCATTTAGTTCACTTGTAGCCTATCGGTATCGTGCGTGTAAAAAGTCACAAGCTACTAACGAGTCTATACAAATCAATATAATTACCTAAATTTTTTTCCCCAAAAAACTAAACTAATAACTGCTAAAATCTGATAAATGCATAATGAGTCTGTATTTATCAGATTTTAACATAACTTCCTTATCCATCGTAGTATTCTCATTTTATGAGTCAATTAATTCATTATCTGCGTGCTTAGTGCGAGTCTTTTTTACGTTGTCGATAGCGTTAAATTTAACTCAAATTTGTATGGAGTCGGAACGTTTGCCTACGTTTACCGCAAGGGGCGCTGTTCCAATTGTATACAAATATGAGTTAGCTTTTACGCTATCGAGAACATAAAAAGACTGCACACTGATACCTGTTGAGGGAACTGCTTGTAACGCGTGTTATGAATCTATAATAGTTGGCAGATACCACTCGTGGTCTGAGTTCACAAATCATTCGGTGACTTTGACGTTCTGAGCGTGCTACCGATTAGCTAATGTTTTAGCAGTGACGAGTAAATCGTAGAACCTTGAACTACATACCTCAAGTACAATGTTCTTTCAATTAGTTTTACTTCACCCCATGATACTTTAAAATAATCGCCCGTCCCCGTCATGACTTACGCGAGTGAGGTGTTCGCTCACGCGGCCCGCACACACATAAACACCCTCCAATCTCTACAATCCCGCTTTTGCAGGTTAGCTGTCGGAGCTCCGTGCTGCGTGAGGAACGTTGGCCTACACGACGACCTAGACCTCGAATCAATCCAGAAATACATGAAGTCAGCGTCGGAACGGTACTTCGATAAGGCTATGCGTCATGATAATCGCCTTATCATTGCCGCTGCTGACTACTCCCCGAATCCTGATCACAAAGGAGCCAGTCACCGTCCACGCCCTAGACGCGTCCTTACGGATCCATCAGATCCAATAACCTTCGCATTAGACGCCTTCAGCTCTAACACTAGGAGGAGGCTTAGGGACCCCGGTAACCGTACTCGTCGAACTCGAGCGGGTCGCAATTCCGATCCGGTAGTAGATTAAATCGCGAAGCAGCTGCTCTTAAGTTGTTAGTTCTCCTTCGGAGGCGCTCGGACAACTCTTAGCAAATCTCGCCCCTCTTGTCTGAGCCTTTGCTAGCCCACCTGTCCTGGTGAAACTGGAAAGGCCACCGGGCCACCATTAATCCATCAATCATAAAAAAAATCGCCCCTCCACTTTTCTTGAGCGCTAAGTAATTTAGCTCTCTAAATCTGATGTGACTTTCTTCTTTTTCCATATATGAGATAATTTTTTCCGGGGCCAAACTCATATAACCATGTTGGTAATAAAACGTTGAAGCTCATAAGCTCATATTATATGTTCGTATTTTTAGTTATCGTTACTCTGTTCTCTACCTGAAGAAAATGTCGGTTTAGGCGAATTTTGGTATGAAGTTGCTATTATCAAATCGCTATATATACATATATATAAAATTAAATAAAGATTATTTGTGGTTATTTGTTGGTGTTTTTATTACTTCTGTAGACAAAAAAGTATACGGCACACTTGATGATTAGTTGCATGTGGACATCAGCGATAATAAATAATTATGGACAACGATAGTCAGCGGCTTGGTGACCCTGGCATTGCTGAAGTCCATTGGCGACGGTAACCACTCACCATCAGGTGGGCCGTATGCTTGTAGCTGCAAAGGCAATAAAATAATAATAAACGGTCTTCTGCTACCAAATTAGGATTCTCAATACAATCGAAAACCAGATACTCATATACATATCAATTTACGTTTAAATATATACATACACTAGGTATTAGCCGCGGTTTCACCCGCATGGTTAAGGAAAGGTTTCAGTGTAGCTTCCCGTGGGGATAAGGTATTGTATCGGGATAAAAGGTAGCCCTAA